AAAATAGTGTCCAAATATCATTAAAAACAGACTTAGTAGCCAGCATATTTTTTTTGAAATATGATATTCTTTCCCAGTTAGCTAATATAATGACACTGACAAGCTGCCACTTATTGTGGGCCTTATATACATATGTCAGTTTCTTTTTGGCATTCTATATGTTAATTAATAGATTAATAAATAGATGGATGTTCCATATTATAGAGAAGAATAAATCAAAGCTTAGAGAAATATAATGCCTTACACAAAGCCACACAGATCATAGATTTTTTTTTTTTTATCTGAAATTCAAACCCAACACCAAGACTGTAGTAGACTAAATCTTATTTTGATTGGTTCTCTGTTGATAATAACAGAAGTACTTGAGTCTGGATAATTAATAAGGAACAGAAGTTCATTTAGCTCATAGCTGTGGAGGTCCAAGGTGAGGGCCACATCTGGGGACTCTCTGAAGTCTTGGGACTGTGAAAGACATCACATGACCATGGTAAGACAGAACAAGAGCAGAACATATCATTCATGGAAGTGCATAAAGATGATATTGAGTACATAAATATTTACCTTTCACTAAGGGCACAGCGATCTATCCTCAGCACCCTACATAAATTTGACCTTGTAGATCAGCACTAATCTTGTTAGTAAATTCAATAAGAACTTTTAAAAGTGTTTATTGATTTTTTTTTTTTTTTTTTTTGCCTTTGGTACACCTGAACATGGTTGATTACTCTCCTCATTTTGCCTCAGTTGATATAATCCTCCCATGGTCTCACACTCAGTGAAGGTACCCTCTCCCTTTAGTTGGCCAAGCAAGACATTTGAGAAACTCCCCTGACTCAGATCTCTTGTTCACCAAGTACTCTCAATCCTTTCTCATAAATATGTCTATCTATGTTTTTTTCTCTCTTGCTGTTCTATTGCCTAAATACATATTTAACCTGTCCTGCATGATTACTACTACCCTCAATTATTACAAATACCTTCTAACTCTTTCTTTAACTAGTTTTAGCTCTTCTGATCTGTCCTTCAAATCTGAATGATTCTTTTGAAATAGAGATTCCAAGTGGACACTTTCCACAGCTCTTAAATTAAGACCCAAGCTCTTTAATTTACAAGGATTTAAGCAGCCCTGTGCTTGCTTATCCAATTGCCTTGTCACCATTTGCCCTTGCTTCTTACAATTTTTTACTTGTGTTCTCTCATTTCCAGGCCAGCATATGAAAGCTGTTTCTTCAATATATTCCTTCTATTCTTTCTCTTTTTATTCTGGCATTAAATTAGATGTCATCTCCTTGGAGAATGATCCTGCTAGATGCCTCTCAACCATGTGTAGGTTACCCACCAAAATATGATTTGCCACTCTTCATTTGTGATTGCTTGCTTCATAACCTTAGTTTCTCTATGTACTTCTGGTGTTGTGTGGGCAGATATTTTATCTATTTTTTCATCATATCCCTAAAGTCTAGAAAAATGCTTGACCTATAGTAAAAATGTAATACATATTTGTTTGTAAAATAAGTAAATGAATAGAGTCTGTTTCTCTTGTTTTTACAGTCCATTGTGTTTTTTGGTTTTCTGATTCATTTTTCTTTTTTTTTTTAATGAAGTATTTTATTTGGGACCAACAATTAGTGTAATGGCTATTTCGCTGGACTCCCATGTAGTTGACTGTGGTTTGAGTTCCAGAACTGGCGGCTTAAACTCACGCCAGGCATGTGTGCATGCATGCCCAAGATCCTGAGAGGGGAATGGAAGAGAAGGGATTGCAGCGTAGCCATCCCCCCTGGGGTGATTTCTTGCTTTCTGTCTCTCTGTCTCTCTCTGTCTTTCTGGCGAGCGCACACACCTCTCCAAAAAAAGAAAAAAAAATTTATTTGACTTTATTTATTTATTTTAATTTGACCAGAGAGGGACCGAGTGAGAGAGTGATAAAGCTGGAAATCATTGAATTATTTTATTGTCCTGTAACCATGCCTATCTAGAAATTAACTTCATTTTTTATGACAGAAAAGCCATTTCGGAAGATTGTTAATAATGCTCATGCATGAGTATTATCTCCTAAACTTAAGTTTGTCTTTTAGATTGTAATCAGTTCCATAGATTACTGGCATATCTTTCAAAGTTTGAGAACAACAGCCTTAGTGCAGAAATACTCTTATTTATCAAAAGTAGTTAAGTAATTTTATTACCACTTAAAATTTATTCTACTTTTGTAGCAGAACACTCCCATGTGCAACAAAATAAAAATTTAAAAATTTTATAGCTTTATATACATATTCAGGAGAATTTCCTAGTTCAATGTTAAGCATTTGCACAGCTCAGTCTTCATATCTATAGTTATTAAACACGCTGATTCCCTAGAATGAATTGTAGCATGTTTTATAAATGCACGTAATACTCATTAATTATGTAGTATTTGCTTTGCTATAGTTCATAAATACTTAAATTTATAAAACAAAATGGAAAATAGTAGTATATTGTGTAATATAATTATTTGTGGAATTTTAAATCATAAAACTCTAAGGGGATTTTCTATGAAGTAAATTTTATGGAACAATAATTTTAAAAGGAAAATATACTAAATGTGTTTATGAATTCACATGTTCAAGTTAAATGTCTCATTTGAGGATAAAAATGCTAAACATAAATTTTAATTTTATTCATTATGTCACAATACATGTATGGATCTATTATTTATTTTTAATTGAATTAAAATATTTCTAGGATTAAAATTTTATTCCCCCATGTGTTAATACAAAGTAGTTTTTAGTCCTATTAAAATTTTTGTTTTGTTTTATTTTGTTTTTTTCCTTTTTCGAGAGGTTTTTGCTGTAGGGTGCGTGTGCTCACCAAAAAGACAGAGAGACACAAAGTGAGAAATCATCCCCCAGCGGGGATGGCCACAGGGTAATCCTTTCTCCTCCACTGTCCTCCCAGGATCTTGGGTACACCCACACACCTGGTGCGAATTTAAACCACCGGGTCTGGGACTCAAACCATGGCCGACAACATGGGAGTCCAACGACATAGCCATTACACCAACTGCTGGTCCCAATAAGGTGTGTTTTTAACTCCTGCTTTCAAATAAGAGTTTAGTATTTTGTATATAAACAATACAGAGAAAGAGAGAGATGGTTCTAGATTAGTATGATATTTTTCTTTATTTTTTTGTCATGTTAATATTAATAAAGGTAGTTTTTCAGATATAGTAGAAATAGAGGAGACAGCAGGTGGCACAGAAGTTAAATTGACTATTTCACATGAGCAACAGCATAGTTCAGGTCATATACTTGGCTGCTTGAAAAACAAGATGTGTGTGTGTGTGTGTGTTTGTGTGTTTGTATTTGTGTGCCTGCCCCAAATCCTGAGAGGAGAATGGAGGAGAAGGACTGCAGTATGACTAAACCTTTCGTGGAGAAGAGGTGATTTCTCACTTTCCCTCTTTCAGTCTCTTTGTCTCTATCAGGCAAGTACGTGCACCCTTTACTGAAACTTAAATCAAAACAAACAAACAAAAAAACCCAAAAAACAGGGAGATATATAGTGAGAGAGAGAGAGAGAGAGAGAGAGATGAGATGAGATGAGATGAAAAAGTAAAATAGAGAAGAAAAACAAGAAGGAAGGTTAAGAAGAGAAAATGGAATTACTCAATTTGGTCCAAGCTGTAAAAGAACTGTATGATCCCTTTTTTCTTTTCATGCTATTATATAGTGAATCTTTTGTATTGGTTCTTAAATGACTTTTATTATTTGAGGATTATATAAAAGAATAAACTGATTAATTTGTCTCTCTTTTTAAAAATGCATTATAATTATATGTCCTATTAAAATGTATTCATTAACTTGATATACTTTGAAATAATATAATCGGGAACTACTTCTCTAGTAGAATGCTTGTTTCTATTAATGTCTCTGACTACATTTACTTCTGAAGTTAATGTTATACCTAGAAAACATAGAAAAGAATGTTAGTTTTATTCCTTAATTAATTATGATTCAGGCTATTTTATTAAATAAAGTTATTTCACTCTCACAAATGCATCAGATTGTATGTGAAGGTTATTATCTGGAGCATTACAGATAAATAAAACAAAAATAAATGAGCAGAGTTTATAATATCAGGGAATAGTTACATAAATTATGTGCACAATAAAACATAGTGTTTGTTAAGGACAAACTAGAACGTTAATACTGACTTACTAGGAAATTTAAGATATTGACACAAAACAACAATTAACGTGAAATACAAAATAAAAAAGAATATGTGTAAATGTGTAAATACACAGAAAGTGTTACAGAAGAAAAGCATTTCAAGCCACTAACAGTGAAAAGTGTTAAAAAAAAAAATCATTAAAAGCCACTAACAGTGACAATTCAGTGAGGAACAGAATTGATATTTGGAAGGAGACTATTTTACTCTATATTCTTTTATACATTTTATATATATATATATATATATATATTATACTTTATATATTATGTTTTTGTTCTTTGAATTTTTTTAATTTTTTTTTCTTTTTTGGAGAGGTTTTTGCTTTAGGGTGTGTACATTCACCAGAAAGACAAAGAGAGACAGAAAGCAAGAAATCACTGCCCAGGGGGGATGGCCGTGCCGCAATCCCATCTCCTTCATTCTCCTCTCGGGATCTTGGTTACGCATGCACACACGCCCAGAGTGAGTTTAAACCATGGGGTCCAGTACTTGAACTGCAGTCGACTACATGGGAGTCCAGTGACACAACCATTACACCAACTGCTGGTCCCTATTTTAAGTTACTCATAAAAGTTATAATAATTTGTTTTATAATTTAAAAAATACCTTAAAGAATTTGACAAATGCTTGTTTGTGCAAAAATAATAAATCTGGAGTTCTGATGAAGTAAAAATTTCAATGATTATATCATAAAATGCCCTTGTACATGGGGAAGAAAATTGTACATTGTAATTAGTATGTTTTGCAATTCTATGTTTCATCTCTAATTTTTTTTTTCTTTTTAATTAAAGGTCTCATTCGTTTGCAAGAGCTCATCAAAGCTCCATCAAGGTACAATCTTCGACTTAAAATTCGTCAGTTACCTGCTGATACAAAAGATGCAAAACCTCTACTAAAAGAAATGAAAAGAGGCAAGGAATTTCATGTAATCTTTGACTGCAGCCATGAAATGGCAGCAGGCATTTTAAAACAGGTACTCTTTAAATTAATTAAATCTTACTCTTTTTGCAACTTGCACTTAAATTATGTTCTTTTTAAAAATCAAAGTATTACACAGTCAAGTAAAAAAATAAGAAAAATCTCTTGATGTAATTTTATGTTAGAAAAATTTTACAATTGCCTTAATTAACTGTCTTAAATGAAAAGTTATGTAAATATTGATGATCTTCTACCTGATTGTTTTTAAAGATCCGTGATTATTTTCAAATGATTAGAATACTGTTTTGTTAATGAGATTGTTGATTGATAATAAATATGTTTTGTACTGAAATGAGGAATGAAACTGAGTCAATGATTGAGCAGCTCATCCGATATAATCAACCAATAGAAAAGAAGATAAAATGTATCTAATATTTACCTAGCACCTACTGTGGGATGCCTCACATACTTGATCTTTCATCATCATAACCAAAAAATGTAGAAGCTATCTTTACTTTATAAAGAAACCAAGTCTCAGAATGATTTTAATCTTGATCAATGTCTAGTAGCAAGAAAAGAAAGTGGAAGAATATGGAAGATTTACTGCTGAGTGAGGCAAGCCAGGCTATGAAGGAGAGACATTGTATGTTCCCACTTAACATATACCGAATGTCTGCACTCTATGACTGAAACTGATTGACTAACGGTTGTAAAAACACAAGAGATGGGTGTGAACATCAGATGAGGTGTATGTGAAGGAGTGGATCCTAACGAAGGACATTTAGAGAAGGGATAAAGAGGTAGAGCATTGAAGGGATGGGGAGGTGTGGTGTTATCGGTTGAAGATATTTTGATCAATGGGACTGGGGAGAAATGTTCACATATTGAAATGCTCACATTGTAAGCTAAACAATGTGATTGAATGTATATGCAAAAATAAATAAGTAAAAAAAAAAAGAAAAGAACAGGTGGATTTGTATTCCACCTAGTGATAGTAACAGGTAATTATAACATTATCTTCCTGAAAAGATATTTCTAAATTTATCAAACAATAGTCAGCATTTTGCCTGGGGGTTAAGATGGCTAGATCCAACATAATTGGGATTTCGCACCCAGCAGCTTGAGAAACACACTGGGCACATGTATGTGCATGCCCCAAATCCTAAAAGGAGTGAGCAATGGTGGAGCAGAGGTGATTGTGGCATAATCATACTTATTTTTCTTAGTGCCTCCACCCCCAAAGCATACATGCTCTTTGGGAAATTTTTTTGAAACCTTAAATAAAAAAGTTTGTAGCAATAAAATCCCTGAAGTTACATCAGCACTAGTCAGACATAGCTGAAAAACAGGTCTCATAATTATTGTAAAGTATTGTTCATTTTTTATTGAAAAGACAAATGAAGTTGATCGTTAAATGATTAGTACAAAACCATATACTACCATGTAGTAGAGTTTGAATTCAAATCTTTGGATCTTGTTTTTTAAAATTTCTTTATACACACTGTGCTGATGCACAGTAGCTTGAAATGAATCAACTGTTTAGAAACCCTTTAAATAGAGGATAAAATATCTCTACTGGAGAGTTATACAGATTCAGATATCAAATTATGTCTCATTAAATATAACGACCAACAGTAAATGCCTGTTATAACAAGGTTAGTTTATTAAGCAGATGTTTATCCAATATTCCAATGTGAATGTAGGTTTCCCT